GGTGCCACCGCGGCCGCCCCTAGAGGCCGGGCTTCCCGCCCGTCACGTCATGGGAAGGCTGCCATGATGCCTCTCGCTGTGACGTCAGCCCCGGGCTATGACGACCTGTCAGTGCCCCGGAGCAACGAGCGGTGGCTGTACCGTGGGGCAACCCCACTCAGCTGTGGCGCTGCGTGTGATGACATGTGATGCCACACATGACGTCATTGCTGTGCTGAACCTCAGGGCCCGCTAGGCCTGTGCTGCCATGACAGCGTGGCTCCGCTGTGAAATACTCGTGCCGTGGAGGAGGTGCTGTGCCATCCATCTGTGGTTCGACGGCATGGGTCTGGATCGTGGCGCACTGTCGTAACATCCCGCGTGCCCCGGAGAGCTGCTGCGCACAGATGTCTTTGGTCAGAACGTTACTCTGCAGAGTTTCAGCAGCTGCAATCAGTAGCAAAATCTCCCTCTATAGCTGAACCTTGCGCAGTGGTTTCACAATCCAAATCTCCTGTTGCAGCACTGAGGTACTTTGAAACTGTGCGGAAATGTCAGTAAGTGGTAAAAAGGCGCTGTTTAGCACAGCCTTTTGGCATCTCCTTGTAATTCTGTCGTCTTGTAGAGGACTTGCTTGGATGATCCAGTTCTAATGTCATAATAATACGTTCACTGGAACACATCTAAAAATAACAGTTGCATAACAAACCAATCACGGAAAAATAGGTCTGAAGGGAACCTGAGGTCGTGTTGTCCATCAGTCGACCTGAAGGCAGCATCAATGTGTCTTCATTTGCTGCAGACAAATGTCTAGTTTGTTCTCCAGAACCTCCAGGGAAGTTCCTCAGCCTGTGCGGTCTGTGTCAGTGCTGCATTAGCTTTTCTTCAAATCACTTTTTTCCCAAATCACTGGTGTAATTTAAGCTTGTTTATTTTTCCTATCTGCCATGAACATGGAAATCAGAGTATCCCTTTGTAGCAGCCTCTTACATATTTTAAGACTGTTATCTGCCTCTTCTGTCTTATCTTCTCTAGGCTAAACAATCCCATTTCTTGCAATCTTTCCTCATAGATCGTGTTTTCTAAACCTCTGATCATTCTCATCGCTCTCCTTTGGACTCTTCTAGTTGGTTCACATCTTTTTTGAAGTTTAGTGATCAAAAACTAGAAGCAGTACTCCTGCTGGCGGCCTTTCTGGAGCTGAATAGAACAGAAAGATTCTTACAGGCTCCACTGTTTCCCAGAACAAGGATTTTTCACAGCACGTGACACTCTTATCTTGTGTTCTTGTCGTGATCTACTAAAGCTCCAGATTTAATTTTTTTTCTGCAGAACTGATACCTAATCAGTTATTACATTGTTCAGCTTTTTGTGCATAAGAAACAACCTCCTTTTAATTGATCTTTCAGAAATGCTGCTATACCGGAATCTGTGAGCCGGTGGTGAAACCTAAAGATATTTTTTTGTTGTTGTTGAGAGGAGTATCTTAGGGTACAGACATTTACATCTTACACTGACAGCTACTTACCTTTGGGAAAAGGGCCCTCTGTGTTTTTGAAAGCTCCAGCTAGTTCACTGCCAACTTTTCTGTTCTTTGTTTTCAAAGCCTTCTGTCATAACAGACCATCTAGGTGAGAAGACAGGGATTAAGCTATTGTTGAAGTCCAGCAGTGTAATGGCTTTACTGATTACTCTACACCTCCCATTCAAGATTTAGTGCAGAGCTTTCAGTTGTCTTTGCTGAGGGACAAAGGTCTGTGGATACCGTTTGGCTTTTTCACAGCTATGGAGAGATTACTGAACTGCAACTCTGCCATTTCAGTTTTGGAGACTAATACACTCCTGCTATTAGAGAACTTTCCAAAGAAGAGTTGTGTTTCAGTTTATTTTGTTAAATTTTCTTTTTTCTTTACTCCTGATTCAGTGACATGACACATTCAGTGTGTTTGACACTGCCTTCTATGTACTCTCTTACATGTCTTCGTAATGGAACTAGGAGTCCATATAGGAGAGTACATTCACTGAGCTAATAGATTTTTCTGTACCTCTTATTAGTCTTTTGGGCAATTCAGATGGTTCATCCTCTCATTGTTTGTGTGATTGATGATGACAAGTGAGTTGATCAAAGACTCTGCAAATTGTAACACTGAGACAAAATCATTACTTAGAAACTGTCGTACTTGCAGTTTTCAGTTATCAATCAAAATGACTTAGAAATGAACTAGAATTACAGCACTGTGAAAAAAATCAGTCTTTTCCACGCTGAATAATCTTCAGTTGAAATAATAACTCAGTATAAACATGCTTTGCTCTCTGTAGTAGCTGACTGTCTATTGTGAGTGCTCCATGGATAAGGTCCAGCAGCATCAGCTATTCAGCTGTTTTTGCTCTCAATAGCTGCCTATTTTTTCTTGTTAGCATTTATATATTCCTGATGTCCTGACACATTTCTCAAGCTGTGGAACATAGATATGTTCCTTTGAGTTCAGTAGAAGTTAGGTATTTTGAGAACAGTGGTACTATTTGGATAAAACATTACCTGCAGTCAGCTATTACACTGCATTGCAGCAAAAGATACCTTATCTTAAAACACTAGTGTCATTAATGGCCTTGCAAAAAATCAACATAAGTCCTGCTGTACTAATATAATCCATCTAGTGAAGGTGCACACTTAAGTTCTGAAGCTGGAACATGCAATCTAAGCTGCACACTACCAGGTTGACGTGTTCCTCAGCAAACCCACAGATAACTGTTGTCATAGTCTCCTAAAACCATTCACTCACAGTCTGCAAGAAGAGGGTTTTTTTTCTAGTTACTCTTTTCCTCTTTGAAAATTTTACAAAGCTTGCTAGTGATGGCTTGGATTGCAACACTGCTTGAGAGAAATGCTAGATTTAGATGACTCACACCCACAACAATAAAAAGTTCTAGTGTAATTCAGGACAGCTGACTACAGACTTGAATCATACATTAATACTCAGCTGTATTTTTTTCATTTTACTGCTTCAAAGTTAAAATTGGGTTGCAAGTACTGCCCTGCACAGGGCAACATTCTGGAAGGGGCCATCGCGGCTCTGGCATGGATTTTGCATGGCTGATGCCAAGAAAAAATAAGGGAATGTCAGGGCAAGATGAGAAGAAAATAATTCAGTGAAGAAGGAGGCAGTGTTTTAAGATAATGGATCCTGTTTCCCTGCTAGTTGTTGCTCTCGGTGTGTTATAACTTCTCCCAAATGCCTTATCTAAATTAGGTTTTCTCTCTTCTTTTGGTTCTATAAGTTCTTTGCAATCTTGCCATGTTAGTTTTTGCCTGAATTTCCTCTGTGAATGATGCAGACTTCTGAGAAATCTTTGTCTCAAAACAGAGATTGTTATGATGGAATTCCTCATTTCTTCAAATCCTTTTAGTTCCATCACTGTGTTCTATTGCAGTGTCCTAGTGTTATATGACAATTACTGCTCATTAGAATTGGCCCAGAGTATAGTATAAACTTTAATCACTTGAAGAATACCCCATGGGACAGGCTTTCCGTGCGTTATCTCAAGAGTTCTGTTCCAAGTACTTTGGACTTGCTGTTCAGCCTGGCTCTGTGGGCCTCTGCTGTTAAGAGTACAGGAGGGAGTTCTGTACACATGGCAGCGTGTCTAATAGTGAGGGAGGAGTGACTCTTTGGCCCTTCCTAAGGAGATTAATTATTACTGATTTGTTGTGAATACTTGTTTTTAAAAAAGTGGACTAAGATCCCACTAACCTCTTTCACAGATACAACCTGGAAATTTGCCAGTGGTAACAACTTTTAGTCACCGCACTGCAAAGGCAATTTCTCCTGTGTTTATGAAAAGATCTTGCTCAATTGTTTTGTAGTATATTGGTGACTTCCATTCAGAAAATGTGTAAGTAGTTAGTCCATGTATATGCATATTAGAAGACTCCTTTTTTTCCCCACAGAGCATGGGCAGCCTATGGAATTCACCAAAAGAAATACTAAATCTTGCTAAAAATTTACCAATGTTCGGAAGTGGATTAGACATGTTCCAAAATAAAACAAAAGGGCCAAACAAAAAACCCAGAAGAGCTAGAAATTGTGATGTTTCAAGGAATAAGACATTTGCTAATCAAACAGGTGGTTGGGAGCAGTTTCCCAAGCAGGTTATTCCAGAATTGTTGTTTGGAAGATCTCCCGTGTCTTTGGCAGAAGCATTTAACTTTGGCCGCTCTTAGGATGAGGATACTGGACTGTTTGGACCACTGATCTGATTCGACATGGCAATTTCTGATGTCCTTGCCAAATAAGCTCATGAACGGCTGCAAGCCACACTCAGTGCATAAACGTGAGGAATGTAGTCAAGGTGGGCAGAATTTTGCCTCAGCATTTTACCCTGAGCGAAGCCGTGTATTGCTCAGGTCAAAGCTATGGAGTTTGTCCCCTGCAATGTGTCTGTTCCTCAAATGATGCCCTTTTATTTAATGTGTGATGTTTAATGCTTTGAGAAGGAAAAGAGGAATTCATTCCAAGCTAACCTAAACTAAGTTAGACAGTGTTGCTGTGTTTGCTATTTTCAGGAAATTACTACAATCAAGGAGAGATTCGTAAGAAAGAACTGGAACAGAGTTGTTTTCTTCTGGGGATTCCTGCTTCCGATGTAACAGTCGTTGATCACAGGTAACTGGTTTTCATTTATAGCATAATTTCATTGCAGTTTTTAAATAGGGGGTGAAGTTCACTTTAAAGTTCAGTGAAAACATACTGTGTCATTCTAAAAAGTCTTGAGGAATCTCAAAAAAAGACCGTATTAGATATTTTTGTTAACTCTTAACATAAATCTAATTAATGCAGAAGACAATTCAAGTGTATAATGGGGATCATAATCCCTAGGTTAAGCTCTGTTGATACAGCATTTAGAATGATGATAACCATACTTGTTGGGGTCTGGCACAGGGCGTTTGGGCAGCATGATCACATTTTGTTACACTTGTTGCAGTGTTATACAATTACAAATTCTCTGAATTGCCTGTGGCAGGTTTGTCTGTAGGATAGTCTTTACAGGGTTAGTGTGGAATTCTGTTATATTTATAATCTGGTTTAGTCCTGGCTAAAGACAAAAGTGAATTGCAGTATTAAAGACAGTCCATAATAACATGACAGTAAGATTCTTTCAAATGAAGCCATACAAGATTTCTGTTTTTGTAAGGTGTGGTGTTGTTTTCTTTAGTTGTGTGTAGATACAAAGGTAGCTGATAAAGCTGACACTTCTTTGTTTTGGGATTAATTCAGGAACTCTCTTCTGGGAAGGTGATTTAACACTTTGAATCAGTGAAACTCAGAACTAACATTATAAAGGCCTCTTGAATTGCCCGATCACTCTCTATCTGGGGTTGATAGAGGCTGAACTAGATACTGATTGCTAGGAAACACGATACAAGTGGTTGTTTCAATTGTAAACAACTATTATACAATCCATAAAGAATATTTTTGTTTATGAAGAAATAACTTTAATAGCAACATACTGATTTAAAGCCACGCCAACTAGAAAAGTCAGAGTTGAAAAAAATCTGGCTCCAGGCAGGCCCTTTTCCCATGAACATATTTTCCCTTAAGCTAAGGCAACAGAAACCACAGTCCACAATATGAATCTTCTTGAGTTCTTTGCTTTTTTTAGCTTTAGGTTTCTCTCCAAGTTTTCAGCTCACTTAGGAAAACAGCATAGGAGTTGTTTTTCCTTTGGAATGAAAAGAGATGTTTCCGTTCGCTGCTCATGAACTGGTTTTGGATAACTTCAAGTTTTGTAGTACAATCATATGACAATGCCCAAAACATTTTGGGGAGGGATAAGGAAAAAAGCTGCTAAGCTTTGCTAAGCATAAAGTCTGCTCAATGAACCATCTTTTGAAATTAACACAGAGCCCAGAAGCCTACTGGTCTTTCATCCTCTAACGCAATGTGAGGTTGGTTTGTACGTGATGCAAGTTTCCCGATACTTCTCAGTCATGCCGCAGCGTACACAGTCCAGAGGACTGGTTTTTGCACGTAATACTTTGGTTTGCTCTGTAGGAAGGTGAGGGCCGTTTCAGAGAAATAGCTTGGATCATGCCTCTTTATTACTTTCATTACTAGTATTACACATATTTATATAAGTAATGAGTTATACGTGATTTCCCCCAGTGAATGCAGTGCCTGAAAAGACAGATCCATCCCATTGCCCAGAGCTTCTGGGCATGGACTAGAATGTACACCATTGTGCTAAGAAACAGGTTCAGATTTGAGGTCTTTATCTCTGAGGTTGGATTGCTATGAGATAACCATCAAATCGTCTAACTTTGTTGTGCATTCAGGGAGTGAACTGAAGTGAAGTTCTTGCTGAATTTTGCTCAGAGCTTGTTTACAGAGTGAAGTCAAGTGTGTTTACAGTGCATTATTTACTCTGCAATAACTCACCATGTGGATGCTCTTTATGAAAAACATCTGTGGATCAGGTGTTAGCAAAATGGTAGAGGATCAGGAATAACTTCTAGATGACACTGAATTTTTAGAGTAGCTAATTTTTAAAGTACTATTTTCCAATGGTTTAAACAAAGCACTGGTATTCAGGGTTCTTGAAACTTACTCAAAGTTCCTGGATTCCTTAAAGTCAGTAGCTTTCCTATGCCTATAACTTCTGTATTTACAGATTATACAAAAATATTTGCCGGTATGGCATGATGTGAAACTTGCTAAATTAATACATTATCTACTGCTAGATTTCCATGTAAATTCTTGTCTATGGAATACAGTTCAGGAGGCTGTTCCTCTTTAGCATTTTGTCTTTGCTAGGCACTGTGTAAGATCAGAACCCTTTGGCTTTTTGTGTTCCCTTTCTAACTCTTTGGAAGATAGTTTTCCATCAATGTAAAGAACTAGCACATCACTTAAGGACTGCAGCTGGCATGCTGCCCATCTAACATTTCTTGTACAAACACTGGATGCTTTACATTATCCAAGCTGCAGACTTGTATTTTGGTAAGGAAAGCCCAAAGGATTGCTAGGTCTGGATCTGCTCCAGCCATTGTAGTGTGGAGCTGAGTCATGCTGCTTCCTCTTTCTTTGCATGATCTACAATTGAGTGAGTAGAATTTTCAAGATGTAAAAGGGGAAATACATCTGAAAAGCAAGGTGATTGACTTGCTCTCTAATCTCACTTGGCCAGGCAGGTATAAAATCAACATGACATTTTGAATTGTGTGTGAACTTGTAAAGAGAAAGCTTCAGTCACTCAGCCTATGATGAAATCTGTGTTGAAGACCAATTCCTTATTAAGCAGTTCCTTGCCTTAAACAATGACTCTCTCAAGTATAGCCAGGATTCCTAGGGCAGGACTAGTTCAGTCTCCATCAGTCAACTGCTTTGCACTGATTCTTCAGCGGGTGTTTGATGTTGTTACTGTGTTTTTTACCTCAGTTAAAGACAGCTCAAATCTTCTGCACAAATACGGTCCCAAACTGTACCTACATTTCAGCCCTAGAGATTGGAGGTCACATGAATCTGCCACAGAAAAGTTCTTTGCTGTAGAGGGCATGTCCAGGAGTGGAAAGAGGCATGCATTACCACGCAGCAGCCAGTTACTGTAGGTGAGCAGATGGGCATGCAGTTTTCCAGGCTATTTCCTACTTGTGAAAAGTACAGGTCAGGCATCAGATTTGCAGAGGTGTCCCCCTGAGCTGTCATGTAATTATCATAGCTCCAACACCACAGCAACTGAACAGCTGCTTTTAAGAGAGAAAAAATTTATACTCTGCTTTTGTTACCATTCCCACACTAGGCTTAATACTTGGAGCAACCCAGCTCAGAACTACGACTTGTATTGTTCAATGTTAATTTCTATACTGTTACAATTATTCCTGCTGTTGGGTGAGGGAGGAGTAGCAAGAGAGAGGAGTCTGAAACTCATGTAAGATAGAAGTCATTTCATTAATGATATAAATGGTAATGTAAACTCTGTGCTTTTGGTACATTTTTATCATCTTATGTGCTGCAACAATGGACTTTTTGTTGCTGGAAAGATGAGAGATAATTGGTTTTATCTACTGTGCCATGATACCAGCTTAATTTTCACAGAGACTGGTATAGTTCGACAGATCTGCAGTGAAGATAAAACGAGCATAGCTAAAATATGAGTGGTATAGATACCTCTAATGCAAACACAGACTAACTCAACTGACAAATCTGCTAAAATTATATGTCTAAAATAGTAGGTAAATCAGATGCTGGACATTTCTGTGGTGGCAGAAGGGTCTAATTTATAAAGCATTTGGCTGCACTGCAAACAAAAAGGGACATCCATTTTCACCAAAAGTTCTGTTGTTCTTTAGGCATGTGTTAGACTTTGCTGCCAGATTTAGCTTAAAGTTTAAATTGCTCTGGTGATGTATGGGCATCCACCCAAAGGACATGAGTGCTTGCAGGGCAGGGCAGAACTCCCTGCATCTTGAGAAGAACAAGTCTGAGTAGCTGATTTGCACTTGAGATGTGTGACAAAGACAAGGTTCAGCTTAGCAAGAGGAGAGCTTGTAAACAAGTAAAAAGTGAGTCCTGCATTATCATAAAACATGGAGATGGTTTCTCTTCCCTTCTGTTTAAAATATGCAGAAAAGAATGCTTCAGTAGCAATGTGAAGAGAAAAAAATGTTCACGTAAGAGTTGCTTTGGGTGCTGCTCTTTGATGTGGCACTGCTACACGTTTTCTTGGTTGTTGCTCTGTCTGGTCTTGAGAACATAGTGAGATGAAGGTGCTGTAGTCTCCAAAAACAGTTATCAGGCCACAAGTCATTGCCATAGTTTTGGATTTGTAAGTATACTTTGTTGGGAATTTACTTATAGCTGAGAAAGCTATCTGTAAGTAATTAATCTGTGAATATATGTTCATGAGCTAGAAAGCGCTCTCTGATGGTATATGGAAAACCAGGAGTTAGTATCTGATTGATCTAATATTAAGAGTTAGTTAAGCTCCCATTAACATCGGGCACATCTGCCAATGCTCTGGCTTCTACTAGTCTGATATTACATGTAAACAGGAGATGTTTTCTAAGCTGTTTTCACTTTCTGAAGAGAACAAGCAAAAAGGAAGCCCAAATTATTATTTTTTTCTAATATCTGTTTTGGGTTCATGGAAAGATAAATATCAGGCATTTTATTGCAGCTTCTGAAGCTTTTGTGCATGGTTATACTGGACAGTAAAACTGACTTTGCATCTTTAATATGACAGAAAATACTTGGCCCAAGTTTGCACTGCAAAGAAAATAATAGCCGAGATTTGTGTAAACTAGAAAATTTTCCATTCAAAGTACAAAGGCTTACTGCAAATAATGTTACATCTGTTTCCAAGTTTCCATGGAAATTGTACTCCATTCGCTTTTTTATTATTATTATTTCACTTAAGTCCAAAAGGGCTCTGATTAGACAATGGACAGGAGAGAGGACATCTGCCCAAGCAGAATCACAGGCTATCTGCACGTTTTTTATGAGGCTGCAGAGAAGCTCAAATTCTTTTTTCTTTTTTTTTTTCACATTATAATTCTTCGCCATTGGGATTGTTTTTTCCCCCTATAAGGTAAATAGGCTTTATTGCACTTCCTCATGTTTAACTTCTAATGAACTTCCTTCCACGAGCTTCCCATGTCAGAGAATTG